AGGGAGGATCTGCAGCCTCCTGCTGCAGTGTCTGTGCCTGCCTGAGGTGCAGCAAACCAGCAAAGTGTCCAGCAAACACACGCAGCTGACAGCAGCACTTGGGGGCTCCAGGTGCACCAAAATCCCTCTCCACAGGGATTTGGGAAGCTGGGAGCGCCAAGAGGAAAGGATCAGTGGCAGCAAGGACTGCTTTAAGGACAGACACAGGTCCAGCCCCCAGCCTGCCCAGTGCCATGGAGGGTCTCCCTGTGCCAGGAACACGACTTCCCATTGCTCACCTGGAACAACAGGAGCCTCCCCTGCCTGATCTGCTGAGCCATCTTGTCATCATCCTTTCTTCTTCCCAGTGTGCCCCTGCACACCTCCTCTTCCTCCCCTCCCAGCATGCAGGTAGGAGAGGAGGCTGCAGGGCTCCAGGCAGGAGCAGATCCATCTGCAATGCCAAGGGCCTGGCCCAGCTGCCAAGGCTGAGTGAAGCAGGGCTGTGTGTGCAGCCAGGCCTGTTTAGCCCAGCACTTTTCTCCTGGAGTATTTTGAAATCATCAGCATTCCTCTACAACTCCCTCCCTGCCTCAGCAGCGAGGCCCCTGGGAATCATTGTTCAATTACTTTTGGCGGGGAGATTTTTCTCTGGGAGCCCCTTAATGGGAAAAACTGAGCATTAGGACTTGCAGTAATTCCTGCCTCCACAGTGACGAGCAGAGCTTTGTCAGCATAACCCCCAGCACTGCAAGCAGGGCCTCAGAGGTGGAAATAAAGCCCAGGCTCTCACGTGGTGTCCTCCCAGCGCTGCAGGCACTGGCTGTGGAAGCTGTGGTTGCACAGCGTGGTGAGGATCCCGTTCACAGACTCGTCCATCCTCTCCAGGCACACGGTGCACTTGGGCAGCTCTGTCAGGTCCATCACGGGCAGGCTGGCCCCCTGCAAGCACCAAGCATAGAGAAACTGCTCAGCACTTTCCCAGCACCAGCAATTAACTCCAACTTCCCACCACTGTTGGCACCAGGGTTCAAAACCATGACACAGGAATGCTGTGAGGCCACAAGGTAGTTGGGAATTTACTGCATAAGTAAGTGATCCTAAACATTCAACAGGCCACAGCCAGGGCAACCAGCCCCACTGTGCTCTGTGGATTCCCTAAATTATAACCCAGGGCAAGTTTAGGTCACAGCTGAGGCACAAAGTCCATGGAGTCACCACACAAACTCTTCCAAGGACCACCGGAATGGGAAATGGAGGTGGGGGATGATGTATTAAGGCATTTTTGCTGTTTATTCTTTAAAAATCCTGTTAAAACCTTCTGAAGTGCAGGGCTAAAAAATCAAACCAAACTTACATCTTCTGACTTGAAGACTTCAGCCCTTTCCACATAGACAAGCTGGCAAACGTCCTCCTCGATGGAGTTGAACTGACGGCCATTGCAGGCCATGTAGAAACTGTCTGCATCAGCCTGGGCACAGAGCAGGGGAAACTGGTTACAAAGAGAAAAATCCCAGCTCACCCACCCAAGGGAGAGGAGGAGAAACCTCCCATATCCTCCCTTTTTCCCTGGAACACCAGAGCGGGGTTCAGCCAGCTCCAGGCACTGCATTTTGGTACTGGGTTTGGCATCACCTCTGGAAGACACAAGTGAAGTTCAGGGCAGTGAGACTGACATTGGAGCACTCAGCAGGCATTGGGGATTCCCCTTCAGCACCTGTTTTACCCTTTTTTGGCAATTTCAGGGCATTTGCAAAGCAAATTCGGTCTCTGCAAAAATGTAAGGGGGCCACGTTGCAGGTTGGTGTCAGTTTAACTGTGGGGCAGAATCCATTCCCCACTCACAGTCCAGGCACTTTCCAGGGCAAAAGAGGCAGAACCGACCCAAACCCTGCCAAATCCATCATCTCCTCTCCCTCAGGAGCTCCCCAAACCCTTTCTCCACAACCAACAATCAGCTGAATGCCACATTCTCACTCTCCTGGTGATTCCAGGCAGGATCATAAAGAACCTGGAGATTTGTTTTGCTACCTGCACGCACAGCTATTAGGGGTCAACAGAGCTTCAGGGAATTGCCTGAGAAACAGGAATTTCAGGGTAAACTGATCAAAAGTTTAGGGATTTGCTGCAAGGCTGGTTAGCACTAAATATTTCTGAGTAATTTAATGGAACAAGAGATGTAAAACCATCTTTGTAACGACTGCAATTAGCACAAAACTCACACAAATCCTCCATCTGCACAAAGGGCTTGGGGAAATCTCTCAGGCAGAATTCACAGCTGGGGGAAACCTCCCCCTGAACCCCAAAATAAATCATGTGCAGCTGGGAGAAGAGAATGTCCAAGTGAAAGGACAGGAACCTGAGGGGGAATTTAAAGTCCAGTCAAGGGGCTGAAGAGCAAACTCTGTTATCTGGGTACCAGTTCACCCCCAGGCTCTCAGATTGGGGGGGTTCTGTTCTCTCCACACTGGTAGTGGCTGTGAGACCATCCAGCTCCTCAGAAAAGCAGGAAAAGCCTTTCTTAAAACAAAGGGAGCTCCCCTGGCTGTGCGTTTTCTGTTCAGCACAGCACAAGACTCTGAACAAGCTGATAGATAGCAGAGAACTCTGGAAGTGGACTGATTTTTAATAAATATCCTGCCAAAAGAACAGGACAGCCAGAACAGGGCATCCACTGTTTCCAGGTGTGGGACTATTTCAGCAGTCCCAGGAACTCTCTGGGAAGGAGGACAGGGCTGTTTCTCCATGGGTGAGTGCAAGCCTGGCTCAGGGCTGCCCAGTGAAGCCACCCAAGCCTCCAGATCAGTGACTTGGTGTGACATTCCTGCAGCCAAGCAATGCTGGAAGCACCTTACCTGGGAGCTGAACTTGATGAGCACCATGTACTGGTTTGGGGTGGAGTCTCTGATGATCTTCATGTGCTCAATCACTTCGTAGAAGGAGGCCACAAACTTCATGAGGTCGTGGCTGGTCATGGTGGCGGGGACAGTGAGGATGCAGAGCATGGCACTGCGCCGCACGTCCTCCTTCAGGGACGTCATCTTGCTGGGGACACAGCAGGGACACAGCTGTGCCTCACCTCCTGGGGCAGGGCACAGCTGGACACACAGCTGGATGCACAGCTGGGCACACAGTCACAGCAACTCTGCTGTCAAACTTCAACCCTCTTTTGTCATCGGTGAGGAGGAGGAAGGGGATGTAGTGAGTGACCACAAACAGACATCCTTTAGCCAAGGATGAGCCTGGGCAGCTCCAAGAACAGTGGGATTTGCCAGGAATAGTTTGACACCTGTTTTTTACAAAAACAGCTGAAGTTGGCAAGCCCCAGATGCTCAGCACTATTCCTAGAACAACTGAGCAATGTTTGTTACTATTGCCAATGTACATTTGGTGGCTTCTGGTCTCCTTTCTTTCAGGAAGACCTGAAATGGGAGATCTCACACAATTATAGGGGAGAGGTGTGGAATTGGAATCCCTGGAATACAGCATGAGACCTCCTGCCTCACACAGCTCCCAGACTAAGGCCCCAGAGATCACTATGTAGCTGTGGGATCCCTTGGAAAGCTGCTTTCAAATGTCTTTTTTTTTTTTTTTAATCTGTGTTTGTCTTACACTCTCACCTTCAACACCCCCAGTGTCACCCACAGCTGTCACGGGTGTCACCCACAGCCCCAAGCCCCACCATTAACACCAGCCACTCTCTGCATTCCCAGGAAGGAGTCACCCTTCCTGTTTGTCCAAACTCAGGAGCCACAGCCCCAGGGTGGCCAACTCACCCTCCCATTCCCACCTGAGCTGGCATGAATCAGGAATTCTTACTTTGTTTTGTACAGGTGCATAATTCCATGAACGATTTCGACTGAGGGGTTCCCGCTGAAGAAGGAAATCTGGTCTGGGAGCTGCTTGGAAGGCGAGTCTGGAGCAGCCTCACACTCCTTGCTTTGATCCTCCTGTTTAGTTTTGTCCTCAGCTGATGCAGCCTCCGAGGATTTTCTTCCCTCCATGGCAGCTTGTGCTTCATCTTCCACAAGGGCAAAATTTCCCTTTTAGTGAGGGGAAGGGAGCACTGGGATCACCCAGTGCAGCCCCTGGCCCTGCACAGACACCCCAACAATCCCAGCCTGGAGCTTTGGCCGAACTCTCCCAGAGCTCTGGCAGCCTCAGGGCCGTGCCCAATTCCCTGGGCAGTGCCCAAAACCTTTCCCTGATCTCCAACCTCAACCCCCTGACACAGCCCCAGCCGTTCCCTGGGTCCTGTCCCAGAGCTCGGGGCTGCCCCTCGGGAGGAGCTGCGGATCGGGATGAGCTCAGCGGGCAGTGCCGGCGGGAATGCCCGGGCAGTGCCCACGGGAGTGCCCGGGCAGTGCCCACGGGAGTGCCCGGGCTGTGCCCACGGGAGTGCCTGGGCTGTGCCCCCCGCACATCCCTGAACTTCCCAGCTTGTTTCCCAAACTGCGGGGCCCGCTCCGGCCCCGCAAACCCCACATCACCCGCGCTCCCCGCCCTGCCTGCCCGGTGACAGCACCGGGACACTCTCCTCCACCACGGGGCCGCCACCGGCGAGCCCGAACCGCGCCCGGTGCCCGCGGCCGGTACCTGCCCGCGGCTGGATGGTCTCGATGATCACGTCGGTCATCTCCCTGCGGCCCAGGTGCTGGTGCAGGATGGCCGCCCGCTCCCCGGGGCCCTTCCCCTGCAGGCAGGCGGGCACGGCGGCGGGGGCCGCGCCGCTGCTCTCCGCTGCCATGTCCGGAGCTGCGGGGACAAAGCAGGCGTTGGGACGGGGCGCGGAGCCGCGGCCCCGCCGGCAGCTGCGCGGTGCGGGGCGGGCCCGGCCGCGCTGCCCCGCGCCCCGCCCGTGGCCCCGGCGGGGGGAACCCACCGGCCGCGCTGTAGGCGAAGCCCGCGGGCAGCGGGGAGGTCCCGGCCAGCTCCAGCCGGATCACGACCAGGGACACGCTCATGGGCTCCGCGGGGCCACCGGGACGGGACCGGGACCGGGAGCGGCGCCGCTTCCGCCTCCCGCACCTTTCCCCTCTGACCCCGTGACGTCACCGCTCCGTGACGTGACAGGCGGCGGCCGCGGCGGCAGCGCGCGGGGGGCTGCGAGGGGCGGCCGCTGCTTCTCGCGAGAGTTCGAGGTACGTTCTCGCGAGAGCGGGAGCCTCAGGGGGCAGACCCCGGGATCGTCGGTCCTGAGGGGAGAAACCCCGGGATCGTCGGTCCTGAGGGGAGAAACCCCGGGGATCATCGGTCCTGAGGGGAGAGACCCCGGGATCGTCGGTCCTGAGGGGAGAAACCCCCCCTGGATCATCGGTCCTGAGGGAAGGGACCCCCGGGATCGTCGGTCCTGAGGGGAGAGACCCCGGGATCGTCGGTCCTGAGGGGAGAGACCCCCCCCTGGATCCCTGAGGGGAGAAACCCCCGGGATCATCGGTCCTGAGGGAAGGGACCCCCGGATGATGCAGTCCAGCCCCTGACCCGTCCCCACCTTGTCACCAACACAGAGCACCCGGTGCCATGCCCAGGCCTTCCTTGGACACCTCCAGGGATGGGGATGCCAAACCTCCCTGGGCAGTTCCAATCCCTGACCACCCTTTCCAGGAAGGAATTCCTCCTGATGTCCAACCTGAACCTCCCCTGGCACGCCTCAAGGCCCTGTCACCTGGTTGTGTCCCTTGTTCCCTGGGAGCAGAGCTGCCACCACTGATTATGATCAGTAATTAGTGTGTGTTAGTGATGAGCAATCCCACTATCCCAGCACTTGAAGGGGTGCAGGTATAGAACCCCATCTGGAACACTGGAGTGGCTGCCCAGGGTGGAGCCACCACCCCTGGAAGTGTTCAGAGCTCCAGCAGAGGTGGGTCTGAGCCCAAGGGTTTGGTGGACATGGGGAGATTGGATTTGATGGAGTTTTCTCCAACACTAACAATTATATTATTCTGTGTGCATAAATAACCGTTTCTCCTGTAGTTCTGCTGTTGTGCTCCAGCCTCTCCCCGGCTGAGGTGTGAGTTTCCCTGGCCCTGCCTGGCTCCCAGCATGTACCTGAGGAGCGCTGCCCGTGCCCAGAACCTTCTGTGTGCCGGGATGCGGCGGCTCCCGCAGCAGTGCAGAGGGTTCTCTTACAAAGCCGTGGTCTTTGAGGAGAGTGGGGTGCTGCTCCCAGCCCCTCACAGGACAGCCACAGGTGTGTATTCCCACTCCTGATCCCACACAATCCCTGAGCTGGGAGGGACCCACAAGGATCATCATCCATTCCTGGCCCTGCAATCCTTACCCTGTCCCTGAGAGCAGTGTCCAAATTCACCCAGAGCTCTAGCAGCCTTGGGGCCGTCTCATTCCCTGGGGATCCTGGGCAGTGCCAGCACCCTGTGGGGGAAGAACCTTTCCCTGATATTTCAGCCTAACTGAGCCCTGGCACAGCTCCAGCCCTTCTCCTGATCTGGTCCCTGGTCACCAGAGCTCCTCTTGTTCCTGTGCATGGAGGGAAGGTAAATTTCAGGTGCCTCTTTCAGCTGCCTCTGGTGAGACACCCAAGAACTTGTGGTGGTGGGACCTGTTGTGCCATCTAAAGTCACAGAGGTAACAGTGACCACCCTGAAACCCCTGGTAACAAAATTGTCCTGTAGTGCCACCACCTGATACCACCCAAGGCTGGTGCAGTTCTCCAGCAACATTAGGAATTCTCCACACTGAAAACAGGGATGAGGTGCTGCAGTTCCCGGAATGCCCAAACTCTTCCCTCTGTGCTGTGTCAATCACCCCAGTGCAGCACAGCATTCTCACAGTGCTGGGCCCTGTATCAGCCTCGGAGGGACTCCCAGCTGATTTCTCAGTCTGCTGATGCTCTTTCCTGGCTGTTCTCCATGCAGACTGGGAAGCCCGGAGCTGCATTCCAGCCGGCACCATCCAGCAAGCTGCACTGTCTGGAGGGGAGAGCAGCCTCTCTCTCCAGTATTCCAGGGGAGAGCTGACAGCTGTGGAGTTCCTGCAGGAGCTGGGACAGCAGTGCTTTGAGATTGTAAGCCAACTCCCCCCTGCTCTCCTTGTGCTTCCTGACTGCATGGAAACAGGTCCAGTGAGGAAAGAGGAGCTTTAAAAAGAAATTCTGTGGTTGAAGGGTCTGGATTGTCCATCTAGGAAGCACAGCTGTTGGAGCAGGGCAGATTTTCACCATTATCCTGGTGCCTGGGCAGGGCAGGCAGATTAATTTGCTTTAATTTCCTACCGGAATAAAGTCTTTTTTAAACATCTCAGTCTAAAATGCAGATTCCTTTCCCACCTGCTGAGCTGTCAGCTGCCTTGATCGCATGGCAGGCAGTCCCAGCGATTTCTCTTTCCCAAAATCAGCCCTTTATCTCTGCTGCAGAATTAGGAATGTGAGAACATTTGTTTATTTGGGCAAAGCAGTTTAGCTGAGAGATTCCCTGCCTGCCTTCTGCTGCCAGAGGAAGCAGGACAGCAAGATAAGATGATCAGGCAACCTACCTACCCAACCACGCATATTTTCACCCCATTTCTGGCCCATTATCACTCTTGGGGTTCCTCTGTTTCTCAGGCAAATGTCCGTGTTCCAGTGCACTCCTTTCTCTGGGATTTAATCCGAAAGGAGATGATAAAACAGCTCCCCATAATGGCAGAAGCAGCTCAGTGTATCCGGGCTGAAGGGCTTAAGACAGCTCTGCTGAGCCACAGCTTGTGCCTGGGGGATGGAGAGGGGCTCCTGCCCCTGGACCAGCAGCACTTCGATGTGGTAAGTCTGGATGGATCCCAAATGGGATCCTCCATCTGTGACAGCAGCAACTGAAATTCTTTAGGTGCAGGTAGCAGATGAGCAGCAGCAAGCTTTGGTTGACATCAGCCTGGGAAAACATTTCCTGACACAATTCCTTGTAGGCACTTGGAGTGACATTTGCAAATCCACTGCAAAGTGCCCACACAACCACGAGTCTCTGTGTAACTGGCACAGGCAGCAATGGAGACAGAGGACTTGGAAGCTGGAACACCAGGCTAGAAATAAATGTTATTATTCAGTGTCCTGCCTGCTTTAAAACAAACAGACAAAAATAAGCTTTGAAAGAGTAAGCTGACCTTACATGCTGACCTGTGTGAGATGAGGAGCAGATGCTCCTCTCCCAGCAGAGTCTCCTTTCCCAGCACACTTCACCTTTGCAGAGATGACACAGATTAGCAGATTAGATGACACATGAACCTCAAGGCTCCAGTAGCCACGGCCTCTCCAGTGTGTGCTGCTCCTGGAGCAGGAGCAGCAGCCCTGCACAGCAATTAGTGGGGGAAAAATAATTGAATGTGGGTTTCCATTAGTGTTGGCTTTATATCCATCCTATGGATTCATTGCTGTTCCTGGAGTGTTACCAGAGCAGGGGAAAGGCTGCTTGGATTGTTCATGGTTGTGAGGGCAGTGGGAGTGTTCAGACACTGAGTCAATGCTTTTTTGATCCAGATTTTAGGGGGATGGTTATGGTCAACACAGCTGCTGTGGAGGTGGCTTTGGGGTGGCTGGTGGGTGCAGTGGTCAGGATGCTGCTTTTCCAGAGCCTTTGGAAGGTGCTGCCATCCAAGGCTTCCTTGGACAGCACTTAACAACTGGTCTGGGACCAGTTTGGTCTCCCACATTGGGACATCTCATTGGATATCTTCCATCCAAGGACTGGCTCATCCTGTTTGGCTGATTTGAGCTGAGGAGCCATGGCCAGAGCATTTGGCACCCACACAGTCCTGGAACCACAGTATACCCAGCTCCACATCCTGTATTTCTCATGTTAATTAGGCAGTCTCTTTCCCACCCACCCATCTCCATTTCCAGCACTGCCCAGATGTTTGTGGTCACAGCAGACTCATGCATATTCCATCTGTTGTTGCTGTAGATGGTTGAATCACATCAGGAAGGGATGCCCAGGCCAAATCCTGGGATCTACAAGCTGTGCTTGGAGCGCCTGGGTGTCCAGCCCCAGGAATCCATCCTGCTGGACAGCAGCAGCCAGAACCTGAAGGCAGCAGCCCAGCTTGGCATGAAAACAGTGAAGGTACAAAGTGACACAGCCAGGGTGGGATCTGGGGATGGATTTTGGGTCCAGAAGGTGTTTGGTTTGAGGAGCTCAGGATTTCCAAGTGGCTGTGGCCGACTCTTGCCAAGTCTTTTGTTCCAGCCGGTGCTTGTCCCTGCAGGATGTGGTGGGGTTAAAGCAGGGATCACTGGCAAAATCTGCTCTGGGCTGTTTCATTCATGGCTCCAAACCCTGTGTAAACTCAAGGAAGTCTCTCCTCATTCCTGTTCCTCTGTTCCCTATTGGAGAAACAGCCCCATCCATATAGTTGAGACAAGCACAGCAGAAAATGAGCCCCAGTTAATGAATTCCCAGAAAGTCTGAGGTCTCATGGATGAGTCAGCTGGGGACTGACAGGTTACCCCCAGGCTTTGGGGTCAGTGAGCACAGGGGTTTTACTTTGGGGACCATTGGGAAAAGGGCAAGAGTGGGACTGGTGGCAAGAGTGACCTCCACTCCCCTGGACTGCACGCAGGGAATTCCAGCTCTTATCCCAGCCCACGCTCACAGTGCCTGTGCCACCATCACAGGTCTCTCCAGGGCAGAGTAAAGGTGGGAAGCTCTGTGTTGGCAGGGAATGACCCACGAATTCCTGTGTGTCAGTGGATCAGTGCTGATGGACTCACAGATAAATGCATTCCAACCATGCAGGGCTCTCTCTTTCCCAGGAAATTTTGTCTTCTGTCTGTCACCCAGTGCTACATTCTCCCTCCTGGTTTCAGGTTGATGATCCAGAAGCAGCACTCAAAGAGCTGGAAACCCATCTGGGATTTCCTTTGAAAGGGTTTGTTCCCTATACTCGTTCAGTGAGACCAGGCATGGAAATCCCAAAGGATCGTCTGCAAAAGTACCTTGGAGATGTTCTTGGTGCCCACCCATCAGGTATTGCAGTGGGTTTGGCTCTTCCATCAGAAAACCTGGATATTCTGGAGCTATTGGCTTTTTCCTATGACATCGGGACTGAAAAATAATATTAAGGAAAGGCTCATAATTTCCAAGCAAACAGCACAGCCATTCCAGTTTGAGCACAAGTGACCAAAGAGATGCCAGGAATATTCCTGTCCTGTGAGGCATCTGTGAGCTACTGCCATGTTCCCCAGGGGTTTGGGACACAGAGTGAGATCTCAACCCCAGGTGCAGGAAGGGGATGGAAAACCTGGAGAAGTGCTGACCCTCTGCTCCCAACTCCCAGCCCCACTGGAGTTACGGCAGTTTGACCACGGAGAGTCCACCCGGAGCTATTTGGTGAAGTTTGGAGGTCGTTTGCTGGTGCTGAAGAAGGAGGAGGAGCCTCCCTCAGGCCCCTCAGGCCCTTCTGTCCCAAGGGAATACAGGTGAGGGGGGTCCTGCTGCAGTTTGCTGTGCCAGAAGAGCAGGACACATGGGGAGGATCCTTTGTGACCTCCTCTTGTTTTCCAGAGTGTGGGATAGGTCTGGGGGCTCTGGGCCATGGGAAGATGTGGGTGTGCTCCTTTCACCTCCCCCCAGGCACATTTTCTTAGTGTATTTAAAGCTGAGCACAGTGATACGGTGCCTCCAACACAGCAATTCCAGGACTGATTCCCTTGCATCTCTCTCCTTCCCTGGCAGGGTCCTGAAGGCTCTGGCTGAGGCTGGTGTTCCTGTGCCCCCTGTGCTTGCTCTCTGTGAGGACAGAAGGTAATCCTGTCCCTCAGCTTTCACTCTGTGCTTGAAACTGCACAGAGATTCCACAGAGATGAAGGAACCAGAGCTCACAAAGTGCTCTGATCTAATGAACATTTGTGCAGTGTGGGGCTGGAGGAGCCTCTAGAAGTTCAAAGAACAGAATCACTTTTATTTGGTTTGGTTTAGGTATGTCCCATTTTAGCAATTAATCCAAAAACTCTCTTTGAAAAGCACTTATAAAGCAATATTGTAGGGCTTCCTGCTGACTCAGAGTGCTCAGGTTTGCAATAAAGAAAGGATTTTTCCAGCTGCCAGACCTCAGTGACAGCAGCAAACCTGTGAGAGGACAGCCCTCAGGCCTGCAGCCTGCTCAGGTCTCAGGACTCAGTGTGTGCACTGCAGCTCGATGTGTGCCCGCTGCTCCTGGTGTTTGTGAGCAGCCCGACAGCCCAGCTCACACCCACTGCAGGGAGCAGCTGCTGCTGGAGCTGGCTCCAAGCTCAGCTGCGGGGTCTGGAGGGGCCAGGGCTGAGCACGCCACAGCCATGGCCACAGGCAGCCTGAGCTGGGCTGCAGTGAGCGCCCAAGTGCTGCCGGGGCTGCTCGTCACCTGCCCACAGGTGAGGCCTGGGGGGTGCGTTCAAGGTGCAGGTGAGATTTGGGGTGTTGTAGCAGGATTGACTTCAGCCCCACACATCCCAGTTTGCTTCCCCAGCATCCTTGGCACTCCTTTCTACCTGCTGGAGCACTGTGCTGGCCACATCCACCACGCCGCGTCCCTGCCCGCGGTGCCGCCGCGCCGGCGCGGGGCCTGGTACGGGGCCATGGCACGTGTCCTGGCCAGGATCCACAGCCTGGACCTCGGAGCAGCCAAGCTGCAGGAGCTCGGGGAGCACGGTGAGAGGAGCCTCTGCATGCTTCCTTCTCCTGGGTGTCAGCATTTCAAGGGATGGACCAAACTGGGGGCAGGGGGGAAAGTGAAGATGAGAAGTGAAGACCAGAGTCTGAATCCCCAGGTGTGGTGGGAGGGTGTGAAGAGCTCTTCCAATCCAGGTTTCCCACGAGTTCCCAAAGTTGTGCTACCTCCCAGAGCTTCCTGCCACGTTCGGTGCCATCTCTGCCCACTCTTTGCTGCCGTCTCTGACCAAACCTCCCCAGCATCCCCTCCAGTCCCTCTGCAGAGATAGCTCAGTTTCCTGGAGCTGGTGGAGAAATTTTTGTCCAGGATTGGATTCTTTCCACCTGACTATTAAATCCAGTGCCCAGTTAAGAATATATGAGACCCCTGAAAATTGCAGTTAAATTCTTGGAGCTTAAATCAGGGTTCTGTACTGGGATCTGCTTGGCTGTTTGACTTTTTCTGTGTCCCTTTTGAAGTCTCTTTGTGCCTTTCCCTGGGAGCCTGTGTTCCTCTGTTCCAGGAAATTACATCCAGCAGCAGGTTGAGACCTGGACAAAGCAGTATCGAGCTGTGGAAACTCACGTGATCCCAGCAATGGAGAGGCTCATCCAGTGGCTGCCTCTGCATTTTCCTGAATCCCAGAAGACAACATTGGTGCACGGTGATTTCAGGTACTGCCCTGGAGCACATCCCAGGCAGGAAACAAGGATTGAGTGTAAAATGACCCCCAAACTCCAAAAGGTGCTGACTGGGCTGGGGCAGCAGCTTCAGAGCAGCCTGAAAGCTGGGTTTTGGGTCAGGGTCAGCATCCTCAGGGAATGAGACTGAGTTTCTTCATCCAGCAGCTGCAAATGCTGATCTAACACTGGAGGATCATCAGCTCTTCCTGCAATACTCAGGAATCAGCCCTAACCTGAGGCTCTGACTAACTTGGTTTCATTCTCCAAAGCACAGTTTAGTGCATTATTAACCAGAGAGTTCAATATCGAGTAACCTCCATCCTCTGCTTGCAGAAATTAATGTTTCACTTTGTGCTGCCTTCCAAAGGACTCAGCAATTTTTGAAGAGAGTGAAGAGCACTGAAAGCACCTACTGCTGCTGAGCACTGGGATTTTTCCCTCTTCTGGAGACTTTTCTGATCTCTTTTTCCCTCTGATACAGGATGGACCACCTGGTCTTTCATCCAGACAGGCCAGAAGTCCTTGCTGTGCTGGGCTGGAAGTTTGCCACTCTAGGAGATCCCATGTGTGATTTGGCGAATAACTGTATGAGCTTCTTCCTGCCAGCCCACTTTGGTGCTCGCAGAGGTACAGAGGGGACACAGTCACCTTTGGCACACACAGAGGAACCAGAGTTCAGAACAGATCAGCTCCTGCCCAAGCAGCTCAGCTGGCAGTGGGGCTCAGTGCCGCTGGAAAGGGCTCTGGGTTTGCACTGTTTTCCCTCTTACTCCAGCTGGGAAGCTGGGCAACTCTTTTGGGTGGGAAAGTTTGTGAAGCAGATCAGGTCTGGTATGTGCACTGAGTTATACACTTGTTAAAAATAAAAATACAGGGTTAAACAGAGAGGTCCCATCATTTAGGAGGGATCTCTGTCAGTCACAGTTTCCCCCTAACCAGGAGAACTGCCCCATGTGCATTTTGGGGCACAAACCCCAGAGTTCCATAGGGAGCCAGCACTGCAGCCCTGCAGGTCCTGGAGGGTGCAGGCGTCTCCATGGAAGGGCCTGGCTGTGCCACAAGGCTCTCACCGTCCCATGGGAGCTCTGAGCTGCTCTGGCAGCTGACTCCCTGGTACCTCTTCCCATCTTCCAGGCTTGAGGAAGTGTGACTTGGGGCACCTGGGGATTCCCACGGCAGAGGAGTATTCCCAGATGTACTGTGGCCACATGGGAGTGGAGCGCCCGGAGAACTGGAATTTCTACCTGGCCTTTGCCTTTTTCCGCCTGGCTGTGATGCTGCAGGGACGTCACCGTGGCTCCCTGGCAGGTGAGGAGCCCAACCAGGCCAGCTGTGTCCTGACCAGGGCACACCCAGGGGCACAGAGCTGCCTCCCTGCTCAGCACAGGCCTTTCCTGCCTGCTGCTTGTGCTCTGGGGTCTTTCCTTTCCTGGGAGAACTGAGCAGAGGCCAAAGTTGGGAGCCCAGAGCTGTGTCCTACAGATGGAGCTCTCAGACCTTCCAGCTCAGCACCAGCCTTTGCCAAGGAACTCACAGGGAGGTGGTGAGAGCTCTCAGTGCTCTGCACACAGCAGGTGTGGCCTTGGAGCCTTTATCAGAATTAAATCTGATGTTATTTTCACATCCCTTAGAGAGGAATTTCCCCAAGTCCTGCTGGGCTGGCCCAGAGGAGGGCAGGTGATGCTGTGATGCTGTTGGGGATGTGACTACATAACACAGACTTTTCCAAACAAGTGTCCCGTTCTCTTGTCCCCAGGGAGGCCAGTTCCAGGTGACAGCAGCCCCAAGGACACAGAGTTTGTGGCTGATCTGGCTTGGGATTTTGCCATTAAAGAAGGATTCCGTGTGTTTGAGAACCTCCCCCCCACAAAGCTGCTGGTGCGACATTCCAGCACCTGGGCTGGGCAAGGGCCGCTCCTGGGCAGGAGTTACAGCACCTGGGCACAGCCTGGGGCAGCCCCTGTGCCCACAGCCCCCTGGTCACTCCCCCAGAATCCTGGTGGGGATGGCCCAGGGGCTTTGCTGCAAGATACGGGCATCCAGTGGGGCTTTCTGAGTCCCCATTCCAGAGGGACTCCACGTCCTCTGCCAGAGCTGCAGGTGAGACATCTGTGCTGAAGCTGCTTTGCTGCACCTGCCCCAGGGTGGGGATTGTGGCCTCCAAGTGTCCTGGCTCTCCTGATCATGTCAGACATTTGGCATTCCCGGAGCCCAGTGGCCTGGAGGAAAAGAGCTGGGTTCATATGGCTGTAACAGAGTTCATATCCTGGGAAACAGTGATTTTGGAAGCTGGCACTCCCTTCCAAGGGGAGCAGATTAACACCAGCCCAGCTGTGTTTGCTTGCCCAAGGTCCTGCTGTCTGGGCTTGGGCTTTTCAACACTTGCCAGTCAAGGAAGAAATAGTTGTTCCTTACCTTTCCCTGTCCAGAGGAGCCTCCCTCCTGTCTCCCTCTGGGAAAGGCTGAGTTAATTCCCTTCACTGGGTCCCTCTGGTGCTCCCTTGGGAGTTCCCTCGGGTGGAGCAGGGAGCTTCTTGCATCTCCCCAGCTTCCATTCACAGTGTGAATGGAAGCAAACAGCCCCACCCTTGGGCTGCTATCGAGGAGATTATATTCTTAATTATTCTAGTGACATTATCAAATTCTAGTGGGTTGCTTAACCTCCTTTTAGCTGCCAAAAAAATATCCAGGTGCCCTTCCAAAGTGTTTCATTGTGCTCTGGCAAAAACCAGCAAACCCCAGCATGTCAGGGCACTTGGCAGCTGATCCGCTGAGAAGGTGGAAAGGGCAGGGAAGCAGCAGCTGTGGGGAATTTGGAAGTGCTGAGATGAGCAGATCTCCTTGCCCTTCCTCGAAACACTCATATTTGCCAAGTCTCCAAACATCAGGATTGCCACATTCTCTCTACTCCATGCCTTGGGCCTGTGGAGATGCTGCTCCTGGTGTGTGGCACCACGGAGACCCCTCATCCCTGTCATCTCCACATCCATGCCACTGCTCTTTCCCTTGGCATCATCCCTGCACTGTCAGCCTTTGCTGTGGAAGTGTGTTGTGAAAGCCAGGGGAGGAGTTTTGCTGCCTGCAACAGCAGGATAATGCAGAGGACTGTTACACAGCCAAATATTCCCAGCCTGGAAGTGCCACAGTAGTCCAGAGCTGGGCAAGGGCAAGGCTGCCCCGTGCCAGCTGGCACTGCCAGGGGAGGCTGATCCCTGGGAGCCTGGCAGCCAGGTGCCCTTGGCCGAGGCATTCCTGGCTGAGCAGGGCAGGATCTCAGCTGACCCTGCCTCATCCCGCACCAGGAGCCAGCAGACTCCACACACTGATCCCACGGCTTGCCTGTCCCCACAGCTCTCGGGGAGATCCTCTCCAGAGGAGCAGAGGGAAGCTCAGTTTCTCCTCCAGAGCCATGGCTGGCTGTCAGAGGGGCAGCACCAGGGGCACCAGACCTCTCATGGGTCTCATCCTCTTCACAGGCACAGAGGGCCAGGACCAAGGCAGCGGCACTGATGGCTGCACAGGCCGTGGATCAGGGCAACAAGGTGAGCAGATGCCTAAAAAGAGCAACACTGGGATCCCCACTGCAGTCTGGGGCCTGTGAGCATGAGGGGTGATTTGTCCTGTCTGCTGTGGATCCCCGTGAGGGTGATTCCCCAGCACTGGGTCCCCAGGGCACTTGGAAGGCTCTGGGACATTGCTGCCATCCTGTCCCGGTCCTGCAGCCCTCTGTGTGCCCACGTGGGCTCTGCTCTCACTCTCCCACAGGGCTCCGGAGCAAAACATCTCCACAACACAGATCCCAGCCCAGCACTTCCCTTGGACCTGAGCTCCATGTCTGGCTGAGGGTCCCCAGGGCTTCACAGGACAAGACTCTCCAAACCAGAGCTCAGCCAGGAGCTGCAGCACTGGGAAGCCTCAGATGGGGACCCAAAGCAGCCACTCTGGCACAGGAGAGGCCGTGCTAAGGGCAGCCTGTGAGCTTCTCAATTCCACTGGTGCTTGGTGTTGTCTGTGCTCAGTGCTTTTATTGCCCGGCTCAATACAGGGCCAAGTCCATCCTTGGATCATGAGGCTGCAGAAGTCAGAACTGCAGCAGGGAGAGCTGGATGGGAGTGACCTGGCTGGGGGTGCATGGCTTGGTTTTGGGAATAAAGAGAATGGACCAGCATGACTCTTGTCCTTCAGCAGAACCTCCAGCAACTGGCAGATGCTGGAAGAATCCTCGGTGGTGGCAGGAACTGAATCCAGTCCTCGAGGTCTCTGGATCTAAGAGCTGAGGCAGTGCCTGCCCTGTGGAGCTGGGTGAAACTGGGAGCACTCCATGGTCCCATGAGTGTGGTGGGGTCTCTTTGGGGACCATGGAGGATGCAGACTGGATCAATGGGAGCTTTCAGTGCCTTACAGAGCCAGGGGAGAACTGTGGGAACAACCATGGTAACTTTATGAGCATGAGCAATTCATATGTTGTATTAATTATTAAAATAATGGGTATGGTTCTTTGGATTCTCCTGTTCCTCCAGCATGGGTGCAGCCTCGCAGCCCATCTGCCCAGGGTGGCCGCCCCTGCCAGCCCTCAGGGGCACAAGGGTGCTGCAAAGAGCCCTGGGGGGCCGTGCTGGCTCTCAGCACAAGGACCATGAGGCTGTAGGGAAGCCGGTAACCTGAGCCTTGGATTCTCCCAAGCTCCAGGGTGAAATTCCACCTCAGCCTCGGGCATTTGGCTCTGCTGTGGAAGGGGGAGGGAGCTGAGCCCGTGTCTGCCCAGCCCAGATATTTGGGATGGTTTCCCAGCAGGCGCCTGAGTCCTGCACCTCCCACCTCCTTCGGGCAGGCTCAGGGGGCCAGAGCGGGTCTGCCCCGGGGGGTTTTAGTGCTGCTGGATCTGCCTCCAAGCCCCAGGGAGGGAAGGGGCTGCTCGAGAGAACCAAAGGCTTTATCTGACACGCACGGTGCTCGGTGTCCATGCCGGGACCGGGCACAGACAGGACACTCATGAGGGCTTAGCCCCGAGCTGGAGCTCAGCTCTGTGACGTGCTCTGGGGACACCTTGAGCCGCTCGCTCCCTCTGGGAGACACGGGCACATCTCTGCGGGGAGAACAGGTCTGGCATCTCCCACGGGCACGCAGGGCTGAAACAGGAGGGAGAACACATCAGAACAAGAGGTCCTTGTTAATGCCACTTTCTAAAGGGCTGCCCGGGAGCCTCTGCCCGGGAATCCATCACCCTTCGAGGGATATGGGCGGACAAGGATGAGGGAGGCTGAGATCCAGCACAAGAGGATTTCTTTTCAGCTGATCCGGGAAACACACGGCCTAATCCGTGTCCTGCTGGATAACCTGGGGCAGGAGTTTTGCCTTCTCTGGGCTATGCTGTTCCTCCCTGCACAACTGGGGTGATGCTCCCCTTTGCTGAGAGAAATGCTGGAAAGTGCAAATGCTGGAACCTCCAGCAAGACTTTCAGTGACCTAGGTCATCCAGGACAGTGGGTGAAACTATTCCTGAACTCACATATTCTACAATTTTTCTGTCCCCTTTAATAAACCAGAGCCATCCCTGTCACACTTCACAGACTCCTCACTGAGTCTCTTACACAGGGTAACACCACAGGTCTTTTTTCCCAGAGGTTAAAAACCTCTTTTGGTTTTCTTTTGGTATTTTTTTTGGTCTGTGGCTTCCTTAGTGATGGTGATGATAACCCGAGCACACCTCTGCTCCCTGCACTGAATTTGCACTTGGATCTGCTGAAGTCGCACAAGGCATCTAAAACAAACCAGAAAAAAAGGCCTTTAGCCATTGTTGGGAGCGATTTCAGAAGGCCTCTCATTTACATTCACCGAGAAACTCCCTGTTGTGAGAGCACTTCCCTGGCTTTGTTCCACTACCCCTACACATGGGAGAGATTTTTTGGGTGCCTGGGTGGACGGTAATGGTGGCACATCCGTAGAACTGGGAATCCAGGTCCCCAAATTCTCCCACATCACCTTCCCGTAAAAGTAACCAGCTCAGGGGAGATGTTTCTGGGGTTTTTTCCCTTCTTTTTTTTTCTTGGTTATTGCCTGCAGTTAGGCACGAAGTTCCCTGGGCATGGACCGAGACGCGGCAGAGACAGAACAGGGACAGGGACAGTGCTGGGCACGATGAAGTCCCCCCGGGGCTCCAAACCAAGCCTGATTTGAACCGAACGGAGCTGAGCTGTGCCGAGCCCAGCCGAGCCCCGCCAAGCTGATTCGAACAGGACCGTGCTGAGCCCAGCTGCGCTGAGCCAAACTGTGCTGCTCGAACCGAGCTGGATCGAGCCTATTCCATACGAACCAAGGACGCCAAGCTGGCTCTGCTCGGGCCGCGCTGCTCAGAGCCCAGGCGCGCTTGATCCGAGCCCGAGCCGAGGTGGGCGGTGCCGAGGCGGGGCAGGCGGAGCGGGGCAGGCGGAGCGGGGCTGTCCCGGGTTGCGGAGCCCGGGCTGGCCCAGCTGAGCTCAGCATGCTGCGGGCGGTGGTGCGCGGCTCCCGGCTCTGCCCGGCCCTGCTCCGGGCTCCCTTCTCGGCCGCCGCCGCCTCCCCCATCCCGGCGCCCAACCCGCGCCCCGACATCGCCTATAACAAGGTAGGGCCGCGCAGGGAGCCCGGGGCAGCCGGGCTGGGCTGGGCTGGGGGGTTCGGGGCTTCCGCCGATCGAGCCCGGGGCGGGCTGGGCCAGCCCGGGGTCACGCTGAGCCCGGAGCAGCCGCGGGTTTGGGCCCAAAGAGCAGCCCTGGGTGCAGCCGCAGGAGCGGGGCACAGGGCGTGTGCCACTTCGCCACCGGGCTCTGTCCCCTTCCCCTCGGTGGGTTCAGCAATCCCGCATCGGTGCGAACAACATAAGGAAAAAAACTCTGGGGAAGGACACGGGGGGGAGGGGAAGGTGCTTGGCTGGTTATCTGCAGAGACCGGACCCTTATTCCAAGAAAATCCCGTGGGATAACCTGTCCGAGGTGCTGCTGGAAGGCAGCGTTCCAAGGCACCCTGCCACTCCCTCCCCGCTGGCCGTGCCCAGGCTCTTGGTGGCTGTACGGGCGTTCTGCAAGTTCTCGGCGTGCACCACGATCTTTGCACTCCCATTCTCTTGCCACAGATCTGAAAAAAAAAAAAAAAAATACCCTTAAAAAGAAAGAGTTGGTAAATAGCTGCTGTTAGCACCTGGTTCTAGTGCCTGGGGAGCCTAAAATCGGTTAATGTGGGAATTAACAGAATCATTTAGATTGGAAAAGGCCCTTAAGACTCATAAGAAAGGTGTACAAGTTCTGGCAACTCATTGTAGTGTCCATGCCTAAAGCATTTTCCCACTCTTCAGTCTCCTGAGCTTCCAAGTCCAGCCAGGCTTCCAGCTTTTGCAAGGACCTACCAAGGTGGGAACCTCTTCCAGCTCACATGCTGTTTGCTAAGCTGTGAATTCTTTTATTCACTTGAGGCTGTGTTGTGTGCTTTTAGGCTAAAGTATCTCCTTCATATTGCTGCAGGTTTGGAGCCCACACAAGTCAAGTTAAGCCCTTTTAATTAACCAGGATCCTCAGATGCCATCAAAGAAGCAAAACTCCCTCTGATTTTCCTGGGATCTGGCTCAAAGGCTCACCCTGCTTGGCTTTTTCCTTGCAGATTTTCATAAACAACGAATGGCACGATGCAGTCAGCAAGAAAACCTTCCCCTCCATCAACCCAGCCACAGGAGAAGTCATCTGCCAGGTGGCTGAGGGCGATAAGGTAAATGTTGGGATGAGATGGGTTTGTTCTCCATGGGAGCAGGTCCACAGGGGTTGCAGAGGAAGGCACCACCCCATGTCCCACCTGGGCAGCTCCGTGTTTGCAGCAGTTCTGATCTCTGCAAATCCCCTGTCAAGTGCTGCTTGTGTCCTTCCTTGACTATTGCTTTAAAAAAAAAAAAAAAAGAAATGGTGGGGAATAAAGTCATATAATCATCACCTGCCTTATGCAAGGCCCTCCTGGGAGTCTGTGGCAGAGCTGAGGTGGTGTTTCCCAGCAATTTGGGGTTTTTCCTACAGTCTAGAAACTTGTGTGTGTTCCCCAAGGGAGGAGTAAGTGAGGGAAACCCTTTGTTGTTTGCTTCTCTGTGGAAGCCTGGCTTGTCCTGGCGAGACCATTGCAGCAAGCCAGGACAGAGAACCAAGTAGGAACCAGCAAATGCCCTGACAGGACAAAATCATGGAGCAGAAACAAGTGATCAAGGAAAAAACTCCTTTAGCCTGGATTCTCAAAAAGTGCCAAAAGTAGACTTCTAGAGCTTTTTCCATGCCTCATCCTAGGATGCAAATATTAACCCAGCAGGTGACATTGCAGAAATAACCTGATGATATTTGCACTCTGTGTAGCTGAAATAACAGAGGGTGAGCACAGGCAGAGGTTGTGGCTGCACAGCTGTTGCACCCATCTGCTCCTTTGCCATTGCTGCTGCTTCCTCCACACGGATGCAGCCAGGTGGGAAAGCGGAGTCCTTGCAGTGTTTGTGCTGAGGGGAAGGTGGCCCAGGGCTGCACCCGTGCCCTGGGACTGAGGAGTGCCTTGCAGCGGGGCAGCTGCCAGGGCTGCAGGTTCTTCCCCCGGGAGCTGGCAGGAGCAGCTTCTCGAGCTGCCTGGCTGCAGGGCTCTTTGCTCCCGCAGAGCAGGGAGAGCTTTTGTTGTTTGCAGCGAGGGAGGGGGAGCTGGTTACTCCCTCCTCACCCTTTGCCTGGGCTCCCCCGCAGGCAGATGTGGACAAGGCAGTGAAGGCAGCCCAGGCAGCGTTCCAGCTGGGCTCTCCCTGGAGGAGGATGGATGCGTCTCACCGCGGGAAGCTGCTGAACCGTCTGGCTGACCTGATCGAGAGGGACCGCGCCTACCTGGCCGTGAGTGCGGGGACTGGGAACCACGGGGGCTGTGCCCGCTGCCTGGGCTGGGGCTCCACCCCCAGCCCACACTTGGGACAGACTCACAGAGGGAGGGTGGGGAGGCACTTTGAGAAGCTGAGAGCAAAAGGCCAACGTGCAGGACAGATCCAGGCTGCAAACTGAGAACTCAGGGCTGTACACGTGAGTTCCCCCCTGGCTCTTCAGGAAACCTCGCTGTCTTTGCAGGCCCTGGAAACTCTGGATAATGGCAAACCCTACGCCATCTCCTACCTGGTGGATTTGGACATGG